ACCGCTTTAATTAACTGTTATAACTACATGGCAACGCATTTTATTGCATAGTTACTAAATCGCTATAGCAACGCCTATCAAAATATCACGTGACATCCGCATTGCACAGGAACCAATGCTATATGGGCGTGATACCAGACCCTACGCATGTTTTGCAAGGGGCTGGTTACCAGACTAATGGTGACGTGTGTCTATATGTGATGAGTGTGTGTGTACTAATGCATACCGTAATTTATGATGTGCGTGTGTATGATAATGAATATATTGTATGTGAGAATTTATTAATGTGTGACGTGTGTATGTGACATGTATCTATAAGGTGCATGTTATGTGTGTATTATCATGTATCTGTGTGTGTGTGTGTGTGTGTGTGATGTTTGTACATGTATCTATAGACCAGTTGGTGCTAAGTATATTCATAGAATTTTTAGTATATTCATTGTGATACCGTAAATAAAATAAAATTTTCCTACCATCATTTTGGAGTCCTACTTCCAATGGTTGTCTATGGAGCGATCGTGAAAAGAGCTTATTCTCCAAAAACTACTGTATTTATTTGTTACTGCAATACTGCTACTGCTTATGTTGATTATCATCCAGTGTCTAGAGTTGGCTCATGGACTGTAATAAGTGCCACTAGAAGATATAGAAGCAAAGCTATTACTTTCTCCCATTCTACTCTTAGTAACTGAGACTCCAAAATGGCGGCAGGAAAATTTTACTTCATTTATGGTATCACAATGAATATACTCAAAATTCAATGAATATACTTAGCGCCAACTGGTCTATACATAAGTTAATGTGACATGTGTGTGTGTGTGTGTGTGACATTTCTGTGTATCATATAATGGTGATGTGTGTCTATGCATTATGTGTATGTACATGGGCGTATCTATTACATCATACTTACCAGGGCATATTATTAATTGAAATTATTAACCATTAATATATGTTAATTAACCAGCAGTTAATTAATTATTTGAGCCACAGTCCTTTTAGAATTAGATTTTTAGCACTTTCTTGTGAGGCATTTCCTACTTCTGGCTTTGTGGTTACTTATAAAAACAGGTGGTGACAGCACTTAGTAAACAAGGAGAGGTGGTACTGGAACCCTTGACTATAATAACTTTTTGATAATTAAATTTTGGTCCTATCAACTTTACCAGGGCAATGCCCCTGCTTGCCCTGGTTTAAATACGCCTATGTGTATGTATAAATAATAATTACACACATGTATACATGCATGTGTCTGATGAGTGTATATAATATCTGTGTGTATGTGGTAAGTAAGTGTACATGAATGCTTGTACTTTATTATTAGATCAATGGATATCTCCTGTTGTTACCGGAGACAGGCCACCTCCTATTGATCAATTTACTCTAACACAAGTTACTAATAACACTGCAGTAATGTTTGGAGGGTCTACTGATAATGGATGGAGTAATAAACTATACATTATAAGTTTCACTAAGATATCAGTGGTGAGTTAATACTGTACGATGGGTTTTGATTGTGAGATTCTTGGATTGTAAATTGTGGGTTTTTAATTAAATTTACTATAAAAGATTTGTATTCCGTCAAAACTACATTGACATAGATTGACATAATGCATGCAGAATGTAGCCAATTTAATTCAATGTAGATTATTTTATCACTATTACAATCTATTTGATGCTCAATCTAAACCCAATCTACATGTGTACATTAATTAATATGACATCATTAATAATAATATTTTATTATTGTCACAGAATATATTAAAAGTACCTAATCCTGGAGGATCAGTACAATGGCCTAAGGGAAGAGATGCTCATTCCAGTGTACTGATTACCACTAGTTCAGGACCACACTTACTAGTAGTGGGTGGATCACCTGCCTATGATGTATGGTTACTGGACATTAACAAAAGAAAATGGAAAGAACTGGTAAGTGTTATATATGATGTTTGATAATGAAACATAAACTGAAGAGCAATTTAAAATTTGTAAGTCATGATGTTTGTAATGCATAAGCACATAATTCTCAGTGAAAACTACTGATGAATAAAGCTGGTATTCATTATGTGTGTGTGTGTCTGTTCCTAGTGTGAATGTGTGTTTGTGTCTTCACCTAATATGTATATAGGTTACACACTGATTTGGAGAGAAAATTTCTATTTTGTGTATACATGTATTTGTGTGTGTATGTGTGTATATGTTTTAATATATGTGTGTAAGTACTAACACATGCATCATGTGTACATGTAACATGTACATGTGTGTGTATGTGTGTGAGCAATTATGCATGCTTTACATGTAGCTTTATATGTCTATGCATGTATAGATGTACATGTATGTGTGATAGTGTGTCATTAGTGTGTGTATATGTGCGTACATACAGACACTTAGTAAGTGTAATAGTTTTTATTGAAAACACTGATATCAAAGTCCAAAAGATAGAGAGGAATAATGAATGTGTGTGTGTGAAAGAATCAGAAGAACCAAAAAGAACCAGAATTGCATGAAACAAAATCAGCTATATATACACATGCATATGATTAAATAATTGTGGTTACAACTAATGAATCACATTATATTACAATACTCCTCCTTGATCATTAGTTGTAAGATAATCCCAATTCACTTCTTAACTTCTCAAATTGATCTCTCGGTAGAGCTTTAGTGAATGTGTCAGCAACCATATCTTTAGTAGGACAATAGGTCAGTACGATAGTACCTGCTTGAATGGTTTCACGAATGAAATGATGCTTGATGTCAATATGCTTTGTCCTTTTATTTCCAACTGGATTCTTAGACATAGCAATAGCTCCTTGATTGTCCTCAAGGATCTCAGTATAG